CACCACCACCACCACCACCACCACCACCACTACCACTACCACTACCACTCTTACTACTGCTACTGCTGCTGCTGCTGCTGCCGCTGCCGCTGCCGCTGCCGCTGCCGCTGCTTTTGCCCCCCCCGCCGCCGCCGCTGGTGCTGCTGCTGCTGTTTTGTTTTTTGTACTGCTGCTACTGCCATGTCAACTAGTTATTGTGGTCGTAGGAGCAGCAGCTGTGTGTCGTGGTAGTTATAGAGGGAGCAGCAGTAGTGGTAGTAGAAGCAGGAGGAGTAGTTTTGTTGCTGTGGCTGCTGCTATGCTGCCACTGTTGTCGGGGCCATTGCCGGTGCCCTTGCCGCCACAGTTGCTGCCACTCGCTGCTATGATGGTTACTCACCAGTACTACGTAGCGCTACTTCTTTGTTGCTGCTGCTGCTGCTGCTGCTGCTGCTGCTGCTGCAGACCTGCTACAAGTATAACTTCTGCCAGGTATTATGACAACAACTACCAATGTTATGATGCGTGCTCCTGCCGCTGGTTGTACCATCATGCTTTTGTGTTTCTCTTCATTCCGCACACTTTCGGATTATGCCAGGATGCTCTGGCACCGGGACTTGCTGCGGCAATCAATGCGCTACCAGAGATGCGCCTTCGGCTGGGTGATGGGATGCTGATGGCAACTATAGAGGCTGTTCCAGTAGAGGTCGCTCCACAGCTGCCCCAAACCCCCGTCAACTTTGCATGTTTGTCTCCCAAACTTCACACATTTGGGTCCGCCGATCCGCAAGTCAAAACTATCACCCAAAAAAGCGTGGGCCATCAACCCCAGCTAGTTCCACAGTTCGTAAGAACCTAGACCTGAAATGTCGTTGTAGCATCGAAAATGATCCGCATTACAACTAGCCAAGATCCACCGCAAGACTTGCCCGCGCGTTTAGCTCGCATTTGGCCTGCAGCATTCTTTGTGAGCATCCTGGGAACACATAAGCTTCATAATTCGTAGTGAGTTGAAACTGAAAGCTCACTGCTGAACCTTGAAGTTATACTTTCACAATTGGTTTTCAGAGGCTTCGGGATTGGATTGGGTTTTGCCTGGATCCGATCTGGTACTAAATTGGTGTTTAATGTTTGTACCGGTGTTGAGAAAGCTCTTTTTTGAAAGGTCCTACTGCGCATCGGAGACTGTGATCGTTTCCGCACTAGCAACAGGAGTAGTAAAAGTATGGTAGCGCTAGTCATAGTTATTTTCGCATGTAGAATGTGCAAGTGCAAGCTATGCTTGCTATGCTTCTCCCAGAAGCCTAATGATGTTTTCGCCACAGCTTTAAGCATCTAAACTGCAATTGAACACTTGCTCATCTAGCCTTTGGCAAAGGACGGAGAAGAAGCGCAGTATCGACACCTGTCAGCTATCAGATTTGCGTGTCGATCTGCAGTAGCGCTTTCTCTGTTTCTGCGATTGCATGCGTCATTACCCTCACAGCACATTTGCTTTCAATCAGAGGTTTGGTAAGAGTTCAGGATTGACATTGAGGTCATCACCCAGCAGGTATGTTCAATTACTACTCGCCAAAGTTCCGAGGGCTCCGAGGGCATCCCAGGGAGCGAGTCAGAATTGTAAAACGTTTTGACCTTAAGACCTACACCCCAAGCTTTAAGATGTGTAAGCCTCAAACCCCGCAACCTGAGGCCTGAACCCCAATCCCCAAGCCCAAAGCTATCAGGCACTATAAGTTAGACTATAAGCATTCAGCCCTACACCTACAGTCCTTCATTCATGCCCCGAGGATTGAAATTGTTGCCCAATTGCCAAGATGGCGTAAGAATCATGTGAACATGTGTAAACTGAAACGGCCAATGCGAATTCGACACGTGAAAGAGCCAACGTTCAGACTTTATAGTTTGTTATTCATGGTAGACTCACAATAGTACTAGCAATAGAACTGATGGCCAGCAGTACCAGGAAGACTCACGGCAATGGTATCCACACTAACTAGGTGGAAGCTGCATCCTGGATTTTCTGTCAGCTTCCAGATCCCATCCTGGCACGGATGTTAGGGGTTCAGCATCCAGGAGGTGATATGGCCATTCCTTGAGATCCTTTTTCACTAGGGTGCAGGGTTCTGTGGTTGTTGTCCTATTGCTCGTGTTCCTACTCCCTCGTCTGTTTCGTGCACTCCATCTCCTGTCTACATAAGCAGCCAGGGTTTAAGCGCAAAACCTTAGATACTGCCCTCACCCTATAAGTATCAGTGGCCTGCACTATGCTTCTGACATTCCAATCCTTTAGGTTTGCTGTCTGCTAGTTTGCAGGGATGAGTGGGTTAGTCTGGGTTATTCGGGAGATCGTATGGAACTGATTGCAGGGATCCATTCCTTCACTCCCCATGGAAAGAGGCCAGTAGATCTGAGGATATGCACACGAACATCGCGCACGCCCTAGTGGCGGAGGTGAAAGCGCGAGAGCTAGATAGGCCAGACCACTGTTTTCAAGCGGATTGTTTTGCCCTAAGCCCTAAACCCTAAACCCTAAGCCCTCAACCCTCCATCTTGCACCTGGGTAGCACTTGCTTCAGCTTGGGCGTTCCCATAGGTTCTGCTATGACAGCTCGTTTCGGATGATCTTATCCTGTTTGCGAACGACACCAATCTTTTCAAGCATGTGAACAGATGGCTAGGTCTATGGCTCGCGGTTGTGGCAGATAAATGGGTCAGTCTCTGCCTTCTACACACTGCGGCTCAAAGTGCGAGTAGGAAGACAGCCCAGTGAACGATTGTCTGGCATGAACCCTAAAGCTGAAACCAAAAAAATGATTTCCCACGGTGTGGCTTCAGCTGAAACAGCTCAACGTCCTTCCAGGTTGTCATCTTGACAACGCCCCAAGCCATACATACATACATACATACATAGGTTAGGGTTTAGGTATGCAGAGGTTACAATGGAAAATCAAATAGCAAGTGGTGCTGTATGGATTTTTTGTCATATGCAGAGAGGGGATCAGGTACTATGAGTTTGAGGATCAGCTGGCGTCGCAGTCCCTTGGGACCTCGATCAAAGAACTGGCTCCTCGTCCTGGGTCTTAGGAGTCAGTGTTGATACATGATGAGGGCCCTCATTGGGCCTAACCAAGCTGCACCTAGACATCTCAGATGTGGCTAATAGCCCCTATCCACTTAGTAAAGGTTTGAAAGGCTATTCATGGTTCGGGTAGGTGGTGGAGGTTACGCAAAGCCGAGCTTGTGTTTGGATAGGGAATCAATCTAATACATCCATGCCGAATCCATGATTGCATTCGTGTTCCAAGAGCATACGGTAATCAGTGCAGCCTTGCCCAAACTATGATGACCTTCATGTTGCGACAGTCACCGCTGCATCCATGCCCG